GATACAGGTGATCACGGACGCACGTTCGTGACGGACGCACACAGGGCAAAACATAAGTCCCCGTTTTCGGACTGCGTCCGAACGGGGACTAAATTATTAATTAATTATTAGCTAAAATATATTTGCCATGGTCAGCACAATGTTCTTGCCATATTACAGTTATGGAAGTTTATATGGCTGTTGCCATAACATTTTTTATTAATCTCCTGGAACTTCACCAAAGAATTTCACAGTTCATGTATCAAACTATAGTTGAATTAGAGGATAGCGTTGCATTCTGCATAATTGCTCTATTGTAAAGAATTGGTGTTTTGGGGGCCCAAGATACAAAATAAAAAAAAACATTTGAATTTGATTGGCTGAATGAGACCCTATACTCAAAATATCTCATTAAACTGTAAATTGAAAATAATGTTGTTTACCAAAATACATGTATTTGCTAAAATTGAATTGAATATGTCACAATAAAATGAACAAATCTGAAAAAGGTCTCTTCAAAGTACATACCAAGGGTACATATCAAAGCAATTGGGTTAGGGGTTTTCAAGAAGTCCCTTATATCAAAAGTTGCCAGACTCTGAGCAGAAAATCACCCATATGAATAGCTCCACTGCCATCAAAAATAACAATACCGGGTACATGTTTTTTTCACAGAAGATGACATTTTATTTACTGTAATGAAACATATCAAAATTTACAACAAAATAAAATGATCAAATTTTAAGTACTAACAAAAGCATTAACATTTTTACACTCTTAACAATATTTGATTAACAGACAGAATAAAGACTCCAGAATTTTGAAACAAGTTGAATAATCTTTAGCATAAATTATGTCAAGTAACCAATGAACAAAACCAAATGGGTTTATAAGAGTTTAAAATAAACTATATGAAATGTTTTCCTTGTTCATATTTTGAGCCTCTCAGTTTGTAAATAATTTACCGTTAAGCCCAAGATACACATTTTTATTTTATTCGATTAATAACTGATCTATGGTTCCAATTATTTTTTCTAAGCATTGTAAGTATGTATACAAAGTGTTTGCTGACAGTGTTTCATTTTAGACATTTGTCAACGACAGAAAGAGCTGGCAGAAACTGAGTTTTTTGTAATTTTTATTTCATAGTTTTCAACCCATACAAGTCAACAAACTTTTGTGGTACCCATATACACCCAACCTCAGACAGCTGAAAAATTAATTTTCAGTCAGCCAAAAATCCATTTTTCAGTTGTTTACATTCTATTACCACGAACGCACGCCATATCACTATGTGTTTACTTATTTAGTACACAAAAATTGTATGAATATGGATAAATCTGAAAAAAAATGTAGACAAACACAGATAGTTCCCCTAAACAATAATGAAACAAAACTAGATTGTATGACAATAATGTGTTTAATTAAATTTGATTGTGTATTTTTCCCAGATTATAGTCAGACATAACCAAATGTGAATCCCAAAATTATCTATACAGATTGGCGCAATGTGAGATGAAATAGAGGCTGTCTGCAACACGTGTTACACCATAGTTCATTTCATTTGTGTTAAACCAAAACATGTTATACTAGCACTTGATATTCAAAACACACATCAGGAACATAATTTGTATATCTAAGTATTTTGAATATGACAACTGCCAATTGTCAAATTTACGCATTAGACAAACCATGATCACGTGATGGCTACCCACATATTAAATTATAAATGCAATCAAGTATTATAACCACAGAACCTATGGAATTCTCAAGAAAACACATATCAGGGTTCATACATAAACACTTGATACAAGTCTGCGCGCAATGCATATAAGGAAAATATTGTACAGAATGCATAAAAAATTAATTATTCAATCAGGGCAAGTACAATCTCTGGAAATCACATTCCATAATTTTAAATTACAATATTAATTGTCAATGATCCCAGGGAAGGATAACCTTCAAAGCACGATGCAAATTCAGAGGTTGGTGCAGATACAGACAAATTATGATTTCTTATCATTATCATAAATGATTTGTGATCAGTGATATGAATACAATAATACCTAGTCTTTAATATTCGCTTCTTGTAAGACCGTTTGCGCTGCTTTATATTCTTCAGTTTCTTCTAAGTCTTTCTCATTTTCCTGAAAGAAAGACAAAACAATCATAACCTGACAAAAATTGATTTTTTTCTGACATTATACAATATTGTTGTTACTCATGGCCTTATGTAATGTGCAAATAAGAAGTGAAAGTGCACAGAAGATTTACTCCATAGAAAACATATTTAATCATCTTTCTAACTTAATTAAGGCAATATCCCAGCATTAATCAGGAGTACTGGCATTGATATTGAGCCCAGATAAGATTTGAACTCTGGATCTATCAATCATAAGAGGACTGCAATAACCACTATACCGGTGACTAATGTGAATTATATATTGATTTATCAGAAGTACAACAGAAAAGCGAGGATGCAGGTAATTCTCAAAACTGATGTAAATTTGTAAACATTTGAAAATTCCAAAGTTGTGTGTTGTGGGGTGATACCACTTACCAGCATGGTTGTCAGTTCACTGTGTGCTTTACGTAGCCTTTTCTCACAGTCAGGGATCATTTGTTTAGATTCTTGTAAAACTTCTTTCTATTGATTAAACCAAGAACCACTTTATTATTTGTTATAACACCAATTAATACAATGGCGATTGAGCATTTTAATAGTTTCGTTGAAAATGTGTATTGATAGAAATATATATACATATTTATATTGAGAATTTTCTTTTGTATTTAACCCCAGATAGGACTGGAATTCAGAATTCATCAATCATCACATCAAATTTCACGCGCATGTTGTTCACATCTGAATCATTTCACATGCTGAGCTATCTTTTACTCAGCTGCAGCTTGGTTTTATTGCTGTTCATTTTTTGTTATTTATTTATTTCATCTGTTGTGGAGTGATTGCTATCAGTACAAGCCTATAAACTCATCATACCAGGCTGAACTGAAACTACTTCCGCTGAAAGAAATGCCGTCTATTTTGAGAAGGATGCTCCTAAAGATGTTAATTATCCAATGAAAAAAGGCAGAAAGTTACATACTATGATGTCACTTTCAAAATGATGACAATCTTGCCGAACCACTGGTATTTTCAGAGTTTCCACACATTTCTGTGCGATAACCCATGATAAAAAATAAAATAAACATGAGCTACAGAATTGCAGCTACAGCTCTGTTTATTTTCCAACCTGTTTCCTGATGTCGTACTCATCCTTCTTTTCATCTTCCATTTTTTGAACTTTTGCTGCTTGTTCTATTGATTCTTTTTCATACATAGCTTTCTCTTTAGTTAGCCTAGAACGTGGAAGACATTCATTATTTGTTTATTACATTGTATGTACACAGTTACCAGATTAGTTGTGGTTCCGCAGCATTTTGGGTCAAGATAGGACCACTGTAGCCTTGCGTACAGTGCTGTGTGTAAGGGGACGCGTTTGGTTGATAGATGTCCCCACCACATCCCTGCGTACCCCCATAGACAAAGTCTGGTCGCGCACCGGAGTTTGTGCGCATGTTAAAAATAAGTATTATCCCAGCTGAAATCAGTTGAAATGGCAATATAGTTATTCGTAACAACCATTACAAATGATATCATTGTCAGGAATGGATGTCTGCGCATGCATTAATAAAATGGCCGCACCTAAGAAGTTGTTACCTTGTCGGATTTTGTGACATTTTCACCAAAATATACAGGATGAAGATAAGCAAAGGTAAATAAAGATTGATCAATAGACTAGAAATTAATTTGTTCGTGGCTAGTTTTAATAGTAATGATTGATGGGAACATTTTTTTAAAATTTTCTTTATGTATTTTGACGGACAAAGGTTTCCTACCTTGTCTATTTCTTTAGTTATAGGAGTGTATAACTTAGGGTGTGTTTTTTGGTTTTTGTTTGTTTCTAGGCGATTTACATACTGTATGTCAAAACCACGAACCAAGCAACGTAAAGACAGCCTGTGGGCTGTGGTGGGGAGCATCTATCAACCGAACACGTACACACGGGGTACAGTCACTTCGCCTGAAATCCACTTCACCTGAACTCCTTCGCCTGATTACTAGTTCGCCCAATTACCGGTTCGCCCAATTACAGGTTTGCCCGTTTTCCTTTTCGCCTGATTTACCGATGTTACATAGTAGGCCTACTGGGGGTTTCGATTCGAAATGTACATCTGGTAAAATGCATAAAATCTACCATATGATTGCATTTTAGTCAGGGTTTTCTTGCCGATGCAAACACTGCAACTGATGTCCGCCATTGTGGGAAGTCATCCCCATTCACAATAGAGGGGCAGCCGACAGGCAATGGGACAGGTATGCATCGGCCGTCATACACAGATTTTTCACTTGTTTCACCATCGAGGTGAGTTGACACTATAGGCTACATACATTATCTAAATATATATAATTTCCATAATGCACTGTATCCTTGCTATTATGAACATATCAGGTACCACGAACACCATGCAGGTACACCCCAAAATCCAACAACTAGCACGAGGAGATTTATTTTATAAATACCTCATGTTTAATAACTGTTGCCTTAATCTTTATTTAAGTACTCAGTCTTTGTTTACCCACTAAATACATTTTTTAATCTGTGGTGTACTCACTGCATTCACACCCTATACTAGTACTAGTAAAGGGATTAGTGGGGCGGCAACGGCATAAAATTACGTTAAAACCCCGTTGTAAACTTCACGTTCGTCACCTTATAAAAACAAATTTCGACTTCTACGTTATCTTGTTTTGACTACACGTAAATACCAAACATACGAGGAATCAGGCGAACTGGTAATCGGGCGAAATGGCAATCGGGCGAAATGGTAATCGGGCGAACAGGTAATCGGGCGAACAGGTAATTGGGCGAAATGCCCCCAATTCGTACACACAGCACTGTACGCAGGGCTAGGTCTTCTGTTGCGTTTGTCAATACACACATGGAGGTATGTATCTGTTCTTTACCTTCATGGTTTACACGACAATACAGTCTGCACACCGACACTGCCAAATATACTAACAGATTCAATAGAGGACCTACTAAGTCCCCAAAAGCTATATACGTCACAGGCGCTCGGAACATTTCCTGGCTAATAAAAAATGACCTAAAGTGGGATCGGCATAGTTAGTCAGTCGCCGGTACAATCCCCTACTACTCATATAATAACACAAGGTAGGAAAGCGTTGACACCATGACATCGAAACTTCCCGAAAATAACACGATTTTCCAAATTATATTTCGATCCGCTTCACACAACTCAAGCATGATATCGGTAGAAACTATCGATCGACTTACATTTAGTTTATTCGAACTAAAATGGGTTAAATCCTGTGAAAATC